CATCTGGAAAATTTGTATAATTTTTAACCCACTCCCTCTGGTTTTTCTACCGCCTGCTAGGAAGTCACCCCCCCCCTCTCCCATCTAACTTGGCGGGTCCTAAGCAACGTAACCTTAACGAAACGCTCAAGGCGGAGTTGGGAATCTTGTCACAAACCATGACGAAAGCATTCCAGTCATTTTTATCAGGTAAAAGATCACCAGAGGTTGACACTTGACGTGGCGCGCTTTCAAACTTTTTGTGAGCTGGAGTAACTTACCTGACCTGACCTTCCACAATGATATAGAGAGAGAGAGAGAGAGAGAGAGAGAGAGAGAGAGAGAGAGAGAGAGAGAGAGAGAGAGAGAGAGAGAGAGAGAGAGAGAGAGAGAGAGAGAGAGAGAGAGAGAGAGAGAGAGAGAGAGAGAGATAACTGTATTTGACAGACTCGAGGTCCAGTACCAGTCACATCACATCAAATTTTGATGTGATGTGATGGTATGTTCATGTGTGTTCGAACATGACGAACACACATGTTCGTCATATAATGACGAACATTATATTGTTGTGCGTCAACAATATAATGTTCACTTGATGTTGCTTGATGTTAATTCCATTCATTAATGTGATTTTGCGATGTTTCCAGGTGTGGACGACTTGGGAATGATCATGGGGCTCGAGGAGGACGTGAAGGAGCATGTCCTGTACAAAATCAGACATACCGCGAAGAAGTATGCCCAGACGATGATAAACGTGGAGCCGGCCGACAAAGACGGTGAGTTTTGAACGGGCACAAGCACACCTTTTCGGATGAGGTGTTCCGCTAGCAACAATCGTGCCGGGGGGGGGGGATACTCTTCTTCTATATAACTGGGCTCGAGCCGATCATCGTAGACAATATATTCCTGGCCAGGGCTGGAATAATGTTTAGATCTGACTGATTTTTTTTTTAGCGAATGTAAAGTTAGGCCCGAGGTATTTTCGATAAATACGAGGTCAGGCCAAAACATTAGCCAAGACAAAGTGTAGGAAGGTAGTTCCCACGCATGCTTCTTCCTGCACGATGGAGAAATGACGTTTCACATATCCCAATGGCGTAATACATTAATAGCAGAGGGCAGGACAACTGTTTATTTTCTTGATGATTTTTTTTTTTTTTTGCTTTAAGGAAGACTGCCACCTTTTTTTTACACAAAACGGTTTTCACTAGACCTAACCCACCTATGACCTACCCTGAAGTCTGTTTCCCGAAATTCGGCCTAGTTTTCAAGATATCCGCAATTGGACTTCAGATTAAAGCCATCACAAATGTGTGGAATATGGGAATGTAGGGTAACTGTGGGGAAGACGCACCCCTGGGTTAAACGCCTCCCCTAAAAAATCGTATTTCTTATCGACGGATAGGTGTTTTATCCTGTCTTTCAGAACAGTCAGCTGCTTGTTTACGTAGGTCTCTATTTCCGGTTCTGCGTCTTGAGGAGCAGCGTGGGTAGGTGCTGATGTTGGTTTTGGGTGTTGTTTTTGTTGTTTTTACAGAAGATTCCTAACATTTTGATGCCCTCTTTATATCACAAAACTTGCTATTGTGCACATCACTCAAAACTGCGTTTTATTGTCATTCTGTTGAACATATTATGCTGCGGCGTTAGTGCCGCGTTTTTTGTCAATATTTTGTTGACCGGAAATGGAGTGGATGGGACAAGACGCCTACTCGATGCATGGGGCAAGACGCCTCCAGTTTTCTGAAAGGGGGGCGTTTTGCACGGTGGTGAGAGTGCAGGGTAGCGCCCTGTAGGTCGGGGCCGAAAAGGCCTCTCCCTGTCCTTTTTTGCTGATATATCCTAAACGACTGCAGATATCGTCACCAAACTTTCAGGACTCCTCCGGGCATCGATTTTACACATTGCAACAAAATTTTATTCCAAAGGCTATGATAGGTTGACCACAAATGACGTCAGAATGACGTCAAGTTCTGCCATGTTCATCATTTTCTGTTGATGGATGCAGGGTGGGGGCGCTTTGCACATGGGTGTGGGCGTATTACCCAGGGTATGGGGCAAAACGCCCTTTTGTAAGGGTATGCGAAAACCTTTTTGGGGGGTTAAATACCACACGCAGGTGTATTTTCTTGGTCTCAAAGCGTAGTATGTAAAAAGAATGAGCTACATGATGGTGCCCAAAGGTGTAAGTAATCTGTGTCATGGGTTGAGTGTCAGAAGGTTTCGCGCTTAAGGGGGGCGTTTTTGACCTATTCACCCTAACATTACCATGTTAAAATCTCATCTCCCACACTTTTTGTAATGGCATCAATGTGAAGTTTGAATGCGGATATCTCGAAAACTAGGACGAATTTCGGGAAACGGACTTTAGGGTAGGTCATAGGTGGGTCAGGTCTACTGAAAACCGTTTTAAACCGAAAACCTTAAAAAGATGGCACTTTAACGACGGGCGGGACAACATGTTGTACCTCACCTTTGGACAGCCAATCGTCGTTGGTTTTGCTATTAGTCAAAAAGTGTTGTTTAACTCTAGTGATATTGAAAAGTCATGGTGGTCTCCATTTAGGTTGTCTCCATTCATGGTTGTCTTCATTGTCTCCAAATATACCACAGTTACATGCAGTTTGATACCTACTTGCACTCCATACTTAACCATGACAGCGGAACATCGGGTACTAATTTCTAATTTCACTGAAATATTTTAACGACGTATAATTATTTTGTAACTATGCACCACGTTTAGTTGTAAGAGTGTATCGTACTACGCAAACGTACTACGCATCGTACTACGATTTTGAGAGTGAAAAGAAATAAGGAAGAAGCGAAGAATCGTCTCCAGATACTGTAGATGGCATAGCCAGCTACTGTACGAACGCGGTTCCTTGTTTCTCTCCTAAAGGTTTCCTTTACGTTTATTTGTACGATATGCATTGATGCCAACTGACTGCAATATTCTTTTTCACGGCAGACGACGAGCTGCTAGCTCTACTTGCCTATGGTTGTGGAACAACCATTGGCACCTTGGCGAATCCGAGAAACGGGGTTCGTCAGGCAGGTGAGGAACTATCGGTGGACGGTGTGGTGGTCTGCCAACTGCCGGCCACCAGGTTGGAGACCGTGGCCCTAATGACGGCCGCCCACGCTGTCTTCTACACAAAGTTCACGGGGCCCTGTAGGGCCCTGTTCGAGATTCTTTACCGGAGTGTGGATTCGATGTAAACCTATCTGGCTTATCACAGAAGGTGTGGGAGGTTACCCAGGTAGTGTAGAACCAGCATCGGAGATGCCCACTTCGAATGACTGGCGACCTGTGGCTCACCTGTGGTTCAAGTGACTCGTGACTTGTGGCTCACCTGTGGCTCAAGTGACTCGCAACGTGTGGCTCACACTACTGGAGCCTCTGCATTATGACTAATTCAGCTGCGGCGGTCTCAGTACGCCAATGAGTCTCAGTACGTCTTTCATAGCCCAGATCACGCTCGTTTTATATGCTATCCGTGGCGGTGGTTCTGTGCGCAGATGTTATTCGTTAGCCTCAGTGTTAACCATACACGCTCGTTTTATCTGCCATCCGTGGCGGTGGTTCTGTGCGCAGATGTTATTCGTTAGCCTCAGTGTTAACCATACACGCTCGTTTTATCTGCCATCCGTGGCGGTGGTTCTGTGCGCAGATGTTATTCGTTAGCCTCAGTGTTAACCATAACGCCCTTGTGAGTTGTGACCTTGATCGTCCTTCCAGTGATTTCGCATTGCGGCCGGCAGAGACGAAGTTTTGCCTCCCAGTTGAGACGCCGCTTCTCAACTAGGAAGCAAAATTACGTCCCTGTCGGCCGCAATGCGCCATCACTGGAAGTGCGTCCAAATTAAGATGTACCTGCTGATGCTCAGGTACCATTCGTTAATCAATTGTTGGTGTTTCAATACATTGTTTAAATGCATTCCTTATTTTACACTTGGTCATAATATTAGCACATCACCCCGCATTATCAGGGATGGTACTTTTACACCGGGGCTTGATTTTACCGGGGAGTTACTCCGGGGTAAAATTATCGAAAAAAGGAGTGCTTTTTGGCATGGCAATATTATTCCCCGAATGGGAGTAATCTTAGTATTAAGTTAATAAAATTATCATCTGGTGTAATTTTATCCAAAGATAGCATACTTTTATCCTCCGTCAAAAAATTACTCCTTAGCGCGAATAATATAAGCGTTCGGATGCTAAATATATTCTATATGCTAGTTTTATTCCCCAAAACTCCCCATTTTAGGCGCTTATGCCAGGTCATAAAATTATTCGATTGCAGGAGTGCTTTTTGGCATTCTAAAATTAGAAAATGGGGAGTAAGTTTTTTCAGTGCAACGTGAATTAGAATGTGAATTATTTTTACTCTCTCAACTTTTTTCTACTCTGGTGTATAAATGCTGTTTTCTGTTTTTACACCCTGAAGCAGGGGGTGAAATCTGATTTGATATTATTACACTGGGAGTGCAGTATTACTCCCGTAAATCGCATGCTTTATTCGGTTTTACTCCCCTACACCGGGGTGTAAAATTATTCCTCTAGGGTTGGAGTTTTAGGCACCGTACTTTTACTCCAGAGAAAGTGTATTTTTAAGCTCATGGGAGTTATTTGATAATACCCGGTGGTAAAAATAGTCGCTAATCGCCCATGTTAAAGCAGTTTACACTGGGGAGTAGAATGATCACTTAGGGTTGGAGATTTAGGCACCGTAAAATTATTCCAATTTTGGGTGTACTTTTCTTTCAGTGAACCGAGGCGACTCGATCAGATCTGGCCTTACATACCTACCACTAGACGTGTGACCTAACCTTCAGTACCGATCTGACCCGACTTGCCCTGCCCTTGTCCGACCTTCCCTTCCAAATTGAACAAACCCGAGTTCTTCCAACCTTTTCTTCTGACCTGACCCGGCCTGAATTACCCCAACTTCGACTACCTCACCCTATACCAGGATGACCTAAACAGCCCTGCCCTACCGCCCGACCCGACCCGACCTGACCTGGGCGTCCCTCTCCGAGAAGCGGCCGATCTGCTGCTGGTTGAAGCGGTGGTCGGCGGACAGGGTGAGGGAGGTGGCCCCGCTGGCCGGCCGGAACTCGGGCCGCAGAGGCGTGTACGAGCTGGGGTTCCGCAGGTGCACCTTCAGACCGTGACGCTGACGGACGGAGGCGGGTGCGTCACAAATGTGTCCGTAAATAGTTATTTTCTGAGCACTGGCAGCATGTGCGATGCATAGGTACGAGACACCGTGCGCGTTGCGTGATTTTTATATTTTTGACTTTGTAATCGATCATCTTTAGCATTACTCCCAGCAATCAGCATGCTCGATTATGCATGCTTCGAGCCTCGAGGTCGGAGCATGTGATGTAGACCATTCGGCATTATTTATTTATTTTGTGTGAAAGTATTGGTTATTACAAGCATACAACGATCGAAAGGGATGCTCAGAGTAAAATGACAGCACAGCCGAATTAAATCCCATATGGTCTGACCTTGAGCTCGAGGTCGGCTGCGATCTGCGGCCGGAGCAGACTGAGCAGGTAGGAGGCGCGGGAGAACTTGTATCCGGGCACCACCTCCTCAGTAACGGCGGCGCCGCCCACCAGGTGGCGCCGCTCCAACACGCAGGTCTGCAGACCCTGGGCCTGCAGGTAGGCGGCGCACACCAGACCGTTGTGACCTGGGGGTCATCGCACCAGTTACCACACCAAACCACTGTGACCTGGGGCACAGGTCACAACACTAGAACACTGTGACCTGAGGGCACAAGTCGCCGCACCAGACAACTGTAACCTGGTGGTGACACGTACAGTAGGTCTACTAAAAAAGTCCCCCGCTCCAGAGGCGGCCGGCCGGCCGAACCCCCGGATTCCAGCCCCGACTCTATTGCGCAGGCCGCGGCAGTGACACGGGTCAGGTCGCGGCGCCCGGCGAGTGGGTCAGTTGGCGGCGGCCGGCCGTGGAGTGAGGACGCCGTGTGTGGGGCGCAGAGATGCCGCAGTGCAGAGGAGGGGAAGATAGTGACTCTGCACGATGCCGGAAACGATGCCGGACGCGATGCCTTTGTGATCTAAATTAAACACCTGCACTGCAGTGCATATCCTCCCTTGCCCCATTCCTATTATATCATAATCCTTCAATAATCCGTAATGACCATTCAACGCAAGCAAGCAAACAAAACAACCCGTTTAGTGGCGACATCATCTCGGATAAAAAAAAAGCGACAGTGATGATTAGAATTGACTTTGCGCGAGGGCAAATCGAGGGGTATATATGTATCATTGTATCATATGCCGAGTATTTTATTCCCATCTAGCACATTAAGATTGGGGATCTTGTCCAACAAGTCAGCGGCCGTTCTAGACACAGATAAATGCTTTGTTTTCGGTCGCATCATTATCTGCAATAATTCGAAGCGAGGTTTAACCCTCGCCGGCCGAGAAGAAGGGATGGATGCCGCCACCATGTATTTTTTTTGCGGTAGCTCAAAGCACACTGATGATAGAAGGCTGACATTTCATATGCCTTACATTTGATTCAAGCCGGATCATTTGAAATCAACCACGTTTTCATGTCAGGTCACTTAACTATGACGTCTTAAGTAAACCTCTGCAGACTGCACGGTTGTCGGTTATAAAATGATGCAAATCCGTAATGCATTTAGTGTCATATAAGCATAATGGGAAAATATGGAAACTGTTAATTTGGCGTCGGAAATGAGCTAAAACTATACCTCACGCACATGAAATCGTGACTTCATGCATTCTTGGCAAGGTTTAATGCTTCACTTTTGCATTGTTCACCTTGCGTGACGGAGTGCTCGTCAATAGGAGTGCTCGTCAATAACTCCCGATCAAAATGAGCTAGCCAGTCGGGACAGCCATCAATGGACTCTGCAAGACTGGTCGAATCAAATGTTATGCAGCATGTCCTCCTTTCAACAGCTTCGTGACCTGTGCTGCCCTAACATGACATTGACCTAAACATCCTAAATTGCTTCACCTAAGCAAAAAAGCATATAAATCCACGCGTCTGAGAACAGAAAACACGATTGTATCGAAATGACGATAATGCGACCTTTTTTGCGAAGTTATTCACCAAAAACCGATCCAATGCCTTGGGGCCCTTGACCTGCCCAAGAGGTCACTGATATTTTAAAATGGGGTGACAGTCGCTGCGTCACGTAACGACGCAAGCGCTCGTTTTTTCCGCGAGGCTCTAGCAATTAGCTCAATTATAGGAGCTAAACATGGGGTTGGGGAATCGCTCCCTTCTCACTCACTATTTGGCCGGGATAGTGTTTGCAATTATTGTTAAAATCTAACATTTTAAGATTTCAAATTATCCATTTTTCCCGCCCAAGTCTTTCAATTCAAGGTCATAACACCAGGTCACGTCAAGTGACCTTACCTCAAGGAAAGTTCCTGTGCTCATCATATCTAAATACATCGACTAACCGATCGCTTTAGAACCTTCAGCGATTTCAATGGGCAACAGTATATGTATTTGAAACGTTTACTTTGCAAGTTTGACATTACTGACAGAAAGGTCGGGTCAATTTTGAGATCGCTAAAGTCAATGGGAGAAAGTTGAACTGCGCTTTTTTTTGACGGAACGCATAATAAACACTCTGAAAACATGTGGTGCCTGATGAGATGCAATACTGAATGAGAAAATTGTTTGTTTTGTTGGGAGCCATCTTTTTCGGTCTGAGAAGGCCCTTGCAGAGCTATGACATAACTATGCTCTGGCGTAGTAATTTGGTTGTGCGAGCCAGCGAGAGTGATCTGCGGACTTCGGAAGCGTGACTGTTCCCGTGGGACGATTGCCCTGTCGGGCGGTCCAGCCGTCTCCCCACAACGGTCACCCGAAGAGGGTTATGTGTCTTGGAATGGAACCGACATCAACTACAGGTTGGCTGGTGGGGTGACCTCCAGTCCAGAGAGGGAAGCATGAAGACTAGGGGCGATGCGGATTGGTTTTTCCTGAGGATAGCAAGGACGGAAGGAATCTAGCACCCTTGACCCTTCCTTATACTGAATGTATCTCAGGCTTAAACCCGCGCCCCGTAGGGCTACCGGCGGACCCTTATACCACCCGTAGGGGGGGAGGGCCGTTTCGGCCCCCCTAAGATCTCGGAAAGTTACCGGCCGATTTTCAAAATTCAAACGGCGTTCGATAGCCCCACCCGGGAACTACCTTGTGACCAAATTTCATTGACCTAGGTCAAACCGATGACGTCACAGGTCAGGTCAAAGGTCAGATTTTCACCGTTCACAAGCATTTCAAGAAATGTGTTGTGAAATCGAGTAAATTGGTAATTTATTGAAAGGTCAGGTCACAGCGAGGTCAAATCACCGGGGGTCACAATATGAAAGTGTCGTGTGATACATGTTTTATGGTCCATTTTACATGACAAATGCGATTATGTGGGTTAGGCAGCCTTTGGGGCCAGCCTAGGTCACGTTTTGGTGAAGATCAGGTCAAGGTCAGGTCAAATTAGGTCAAATTTCGAAGTTGATATTTTTGCATAAAATGGGTATCGATTCGATGTAGCTCGTCACGTGGAGTCTAATGGTGGTCTTTGTTTTGCTCTACGAGGTCTAGAATTGCCAAAAATTGAGTTTGAAAATTTGACGGCATCATTTTTGAACAGTTTTTTCGCTATAACTTGGCCAAAAAAACGAAGTATCGATCTGAAATTTGGTATGTAGATTGAAGACGGTAGGCACTATCACATATATTCCGGTTTTTCGAAACTCAAATCTTTTTAGATTTTTTTGGCTAATATATCCAAAGAAAATGCTTTTTTGATTTTTGGAGGTCAAAACTCAAAAAGTTCGAAAACCCGAGATAGCAGTTTTGTAGCCCTGTCAATTCTACACCTTTTATGTCTAATCATTTTTCTGTATCTTCAAAGCTGTAGGCCTGACAGGTCTTCTCGCGAAGGGCTTTTTTCGGTCGAAAATGACAGAACATGACGTCATTCTGGCGTCATTTGTGGCCAGCCTATCATAGCCTCTGGAAACATTTTTAGTCGCAATGTGTAAAATCGATGCCCGGAGGGGTCCTGAAAGTTTAGTGGCGATATCTCCAGCCGTTTAGGAGATATCGACCGAAAAGGACAGGGGGGCCGTTTCGGCCCCCCCCCCCCCCTACAGGGCGCGGGATCTCCTAAGCGTTTTTTTTTCTCGACATCGTCAAGGTGCCATTAATAGAAATATGAAATCCGGGAGGATAAATTAAATATAGAAATTGTGGCCAACAGAACATTATCAGTTGCGTTCAACATACTCGTAAGCATGATCACACACCCAGCTTACACATGAGCCATGTAATAAATGTTTTTGATAGACATGCTTAAGTTATTAAATCATCTAAAGTGTTTGTAAAGTTTCACGACACCTACGGATCTAATATCCTGCTATCCATCATGACCATTTCTGGTCAGGTCATGTCTTTGAACATAGGCCAAATTCTTCAAATGACCTCCCTCGCCGGCAAAGGGAGGGAGGGTTGATGCAACTCCCCCCCCCCTCCTCCTAAGGTTTTTCGCGAATAACTCGCGTAAAAAGCGGCCGATCGCGACGAAACTTTCAGTACCCTCGCATTGATAAATTTTACACCTACCCTGAAAATTTCATGACCCTGACCCAAATGACCTTTGACCATCTGAATCACCTGAAGGTCAGGTCAGGTCATTGACCTTTGGTGACCTCGGTTCACTTTTTCGAGTTTTACATGTTTCTACGCGCGCTAATTTTTGGAGCTGAATTCGAATTTAGCAACCATTTGAACATTTACGAAGTAGTTTTGGTGCCTTCGTAACATGTTACGAAGCTGTCAGAGGCGGATGACAGGTATTACGAATACCCGTCGTGATCCCTACCGGTTGACCTGACCTGACCTGACCCGACCTGGTCTAAATGCCTTAAGACATCATCTCTGATCAAAACTAACACGATATTCGTGATCAGCACCCCGGAAAACCCCATAGCAGCCACACTTTACGACTTTCTAACAGGTCCCCATTTTCCCGATTTTCGGGTCATTGACCTGACCTGGAAGGTCACCCGATGACCTAGGACCTCAAAATTTGGTATCATTGGTTTCCTCTTGTGACGGGCAGCACGCTCGTTTTTTCCGCGAAACTCTAGCTCAATCAGGGGCCAAGCGCGAGGGGGGAAGGGGGTCGTGCCACCCCCCCCCCCCCCCCTTGTGCCGTCGAAGGATGCAAAATAGCCTATGCCGGCGAGGGTTAAAGATCAACTTTTGATTCATTCGAAGCATTTTGATAAGAGGAACACGAGGCTGGTAAAATTAATTTCATGCAAGTTTAGCTTAAAACTTATAGTGTTTGTGGAAAAGCAATTGGTTTTCTCATAATACCGATGGTGGCAGTTGCTGTTATTTACATGCTAAGCCGTTGACCTTAATTAAATCTGACAATATTATTCAGACATAGCGGTAAACGAGCTGCTTGTTGTGTTAGGTTAGGCTCTTTCGGTCGATTTCAGAGTGGGAAGGGTGACAGGAATTAGGGGGAGACAGGGGGCCTGGGCGGGAGTCTTTGAGCCTCATGCTCCGCTGGGGCCGAGCCCATCACGTGGGTTGGATTGCCCTGACACATGGATAGCCCTGGGCGGTGTTTCACGGTCCCGCGCTGCAGCACGCTGCGCTGCGCTGCCATGCATTGTAGCGGCGGTTGATATGAATTCGGCTCCACGCTAGCGTTACGAGCTTCCGAGTCTGTTGATGTTTCCATGGAAATTGGAAACCCAATGCACCGGTGCGCACAACGCACCCAGTCCAAGCAAAATTTTACCATCGATGACCTTTGGTGACATGACCTTTTGCTCTGAACCGATCTAAAATTGGCTGCAGTATTTTTTCTTCTTTTTGCTACTTTCGACGCTACTTCGAATACCACTTAAATGCCCAAATGAGAAGAGTCAGACATTTTGTTTTTCTCACAGACAATGACTACACAAAAACAATGTAATAAGACCAGACGTTTCGACAAAAAAGTGCTTTCGTCAGTGGAAAACAAGATATAGGCTTTACATCGATAAAAATATAGATTTTTTATGCTTATTATCTTCTATATTTTTATCGATGTAAAGCCTATATCTTGTTTTCCACTGACGAAGGCACTTTGTTGTCGAAACGTCTGGTCTTATTACATTGTTTTTGTATTGTCATTGTCTGTGAGAAAAACTAACTGCCCAAAGCTGAGTTATAAGAATGATGCTCAATCCCCATTTCCCCTCCAACAGGGCGTGAAAGTCTACGCATTCCTGTGGGGCACGGGCTAACAATGACTATCTCATAATCATTGTGGCCATGAACATCTACTGCCGTTCTTTAACACCGGTTTCACTGCGCTGAGTGGTGGCCGTCTCGTTTGTTGGATTCTACAGCTGGCTGGCGGAAAGCGTTACCGGCCGCCCGTCCACCGCCCGCGGGCCGGACCGAGCAGTCCCGCTGACCCTACCTGACCTGAGCCCGGCGCGATATGGGACGGGCAGACGGGGGTTCGGCTCAGCGAAGGCAGCGCCCACTGGTGCTGGGGACTTTTTTAATAGACCTACTGTACAGGTCACCACACCAGACCGTGGTGATCTGAGTACCTAATACGTCACCAGACCCTTCCAAGCCTTCACGAACTCACTCGCCGATCATCTCCACTGCACCCCGCGTCCCTCACCTGCTCCCACTATCACGGCGTCATACTCTGTCCGCAGCTGGTCCGCCGGGGTGGTGGTCGCCTCTGTCCCCCGCCGGCAGGTCATGTGCAGGGCCCGGGGTCCGGAGACGCCGGCAGTGCTCCACAGACGGCGCGCCGCGCGCGCTCCACATACCGGCAGCCGCATGGAGGGGAGAGGGAACGGGGTACCCGAGCTGAAACAGGGGAAAGACGGGGTGGGGTGTGATCTCATTGTGACTTCGGAGTTTTTGGTGCTGAGGGCGCAGGTGGTTCGTGTTTATGGCGAAATATTTATAAGTTTTACCACAGATAACAGTAGTACTACTGTTATCTGTGGTTTTACATATAGTAGGTAATATATATTCCCGACCGGGGCTGGGAAAATGCGTTTTATTCACCGAGGTTTTTGTGCGGAGGACCGAGTGCCGGTAGGCACGAGGTCCGTAGCCAAAAACCGAGGTGAATAAAACTGCATTTTCACAGCCCAAGGTTGGGAAGAGATTTACCACATGCCGTACCGGCGCAACAGTTAGGATATCATATTCACTTGATATTTTACACTTTAATCTTAATATTGTGTTAATATTATATTAATACTATGTTCATATTTATAATCACCGTGATTATTTTTTTGTGTGATTTTCATTATTAGGCTGCGTTGAGTATGAAAGATGAAATTCATACTACCCCCTTATTTAGGGTTTGAAAAAGCTGAGGATGAAGATGGTGAAGCGCCAGAAGTTAGAATAAAGATATGGAGTCCAGCAGGAGTGAGGAAACCGTGATGAAAACTAAAAATTGGGTGAAACGATGAATCAAACGCGTCTTGGATCCCAGCTGGAACAATATCAAATGTTTCATTGTGGCACGTTAAGATGCTTCACGCATTTAAATTGTTCGTTTTTTTGCGTGCATTATGTAGAAATAATTATTATTCCGAACATGTTCTGCAGCAATAAATACATTGGCATTGGAACGATAACCTTGTTTAGTTGAATTACGTTGACAGCCAAAGTATGTAAACACGCAGTCACTCACTTTTGCTGTTGCTGTTAGTGAACACACAATTCGTAAATATCTTCTTTGAAATTGGTTCTTCCGCTCAGAATATTCAGTAAAACTTTGGGAAAATCAAAAAGCCCTAGGGCCGAATCTATATTACTATTTGAGGAGGGTGCGTCTGTCCGTTACCGAGGTCCCGACTTGGTCGTGCTTTGCGTGGACTACAGGCCAGACCGTTGCACCTAGCCCGGTGAAATTTGCACAACTTATAGATCAAGGATGCGCGACGTGCCTTTGGGGGGTCTCAGCTCGATCGGGTCGATAGGGAGCGCGTGGCGCGTGCTCAAAAAGTGCAAATTCGCGTCATAGACTTTACATGTATAAATCGGCGTGCGAAATCGGGCGAAAACGGCTAAATTTGCCCGACACGGGTCCGATCCCGGTGCCATATCTTGGCGACCAGGGGTCTGATCGGCACGGGGAAAACAGCATCGTGTAGAGAATCGAACGGCCTATCGAATGGTGTGCGTTGCAGAGGATAGCACGCGCCACGTGCACCGGGGAGGGCACTTTTATTGGAAAAGTTGCGGTTTTTGACGGATTTTGGGATTACATTTATTTTTAGGTGACCGTCAGACGGAGCGAGTTGAACCAACGCCTATAGGCAAGAGAAATGTACCGCCTCTCATGGAAAAATTGTGAAAAGCTGATTGATCCAAATCAAGGTGGTACAAAACACGGGAGAAAATGGTGTTTGTCAATTTTGTGCCACTTTATTAATCACACGGGTTTTGCTCCTTGACCTGATATATCTGGCAATTAAAAATGGCACCGTTGGAAAGAGCATTCAATTCTGTCCAATATTCACTCTTCATTTTTGCATGATTAGCAACAGTATCCTTAAAAATGTAAATGTTCCAAACCATTACATTGTCATTTTTAGCGAAATTCATCGATGGCCCTCAGAAGACTTCACGCCAGTTTTCGAATCATTCTTAAGTAAAACGCATGATAATACGACACGGGCACCTCGATGCGATGTATCTTTTTGTTTTCTTACAAAATGCTTGGCCGTCAAAAAGCAATCGAGCGAAATGGATATCTACCAACCAAATCGACACAGACCAACCCAATACCCACGGGTCAAAAAATCCCCCCTTCGCGTTGCGGAGCACGCGGGTAACCCTAGTCGTTTCCCAAATACCTTCAACATTAGCCGAGGCGGGCCGAAGCCATTTCCCAAATGCACGTGCTAATGTTAAAGGGATATCTCGGCATGTGGTAATCAAACTTTAGTTATTTGCAGAAGGAACATTGCACTCAAACACAAACACAGATATGAGTCAGCGAGCTGTAGGTGCTAGGTAACAATAACGAAATGCATTTAGAACAAGTTTGAAATGCCATGCTTGATGACGTGCCATAACAGTTTGTCACATGTTAGACGATAACATTTTGGTCGTCCGTTATCTACAAATTGTTTACTATACTAGTCAAAATGAACGATTAACCCAAAGTTAATTAAAGTTATAGGCGAGAATTATGTGATTTAGAACACTCACCGGTCGTGGACGGAGCCCTCAGAAACGCTGACTCTGTTCTCGTGTGCCGAGATCCATCTGTTGTATCTAGGGTGTCCTGGACCTCTGTTTACACCCAGGTCAGGGGCGCGCCCAGGCGGCGCACAGGGGAGCTCAACTCCATGACGGAAGAGACATGGATTGTGCTGCTCTCGAGCAATGGTTGAAATAAGCTCTGCTAAAGTAAGAATTTGATGGCTGAAAGAAAGTAGAAACATTTCATTGTCGATAAATCTAATCGTATCACTGTCTTGCATATCTTGAAACATTCAATTACATCAAATAATGCATGCATATAAACAAGTGAATACCTGTAGGTATACATATTCCTCTGTATTGTGATATTAACTCCGAATTGCCGTTTATAATGTAAGGAATGTCGATCAATGTTTGAAAGACGTTACAAGGCGATCAGCTTTCTACTGATGAAATGATCGGCATACATATAGGGATGCATTCAGATGCCGATTCTGCTAAAACAATAAATAACGGCATAGCCACTATCAGCTGTAACAACTTATCCAGCGCGAACACATTCCAGCTGCTTAGTGTGCATACATCGGCTCTTTTGTGACCAAGAGGGCAGTGTCGCTGCTACACCGTACGACCCCGCTCCAGCCATAGGACGGCGGTCACTGAGGTCCAGACTGGCGTCACGTTTATGCCAGACCCGCTCGTAAATTCTGCGCGTGCTAAGCATACCTACTGACCCTTGAGCCCTGCCCTGGAGACAACGGTAACGGTTCTGTTCAGCGCGGCGGCTACGTCAACGGATCTCGGCCAGAACATAATGCTTAAGCCGTTTCCGTTCTTTGGTTTAAAAAGGCGTTAAAAAAAACACGATCTTGCAGGATCCTACAATCCACGTAAAAAGCACAACAAATATCCGTTCCAGTATCACCAAAACGGTGAAGCTGATAGTTTTGAAAATGTGTGGCTCAAAAGAAAATGAAAAGAAGAAAATGTTGGGTATATGTTCACATGGGCACAAGCATGTGTATTCTTTGGGTGAAGAGCTAAGACGGCGATATCAAATTCTTATCTGTATTCAATGTAAACGCGTTTCGATTATTTCTTTATCAATACATTGATACAATACAGATAATGAAAACACACGATTCAATGTTTCATTATCTGTATTGTATCAATGTATTGATAAAGAAATAATCGAAACGCGTTTACATTGAATACAGATAAGAATTTGATATTGTTTTTCATTAAAGTAAACATTTGTCAAAATGAACAATATACATAAGACGGCGATATCATTTTTGCCCATGGGTGTTTTGTTGCTATAATGCACTTTAAATACTCGTATACCTATACTCGTATGTTACAAAGACGGCGAAGCATTTCAAGTCAGGTACTACGAAACATTTTGAAGTCGTCGAAAACTAAACAGATGAGCGTCACATGTTTGTTGAACTAAGGCAGCGATACCAATGTAAAAAATAGCTCAGGAAGCTGTTAATTAACTCTAATGAAAAGGTATTCTCGTATATGTAAAGGTATACAGTTATACACGCTATAAAAAAAAAACAATGCCGGGGTGTACGACGTACGTAATAACCACTTACTCAGAAAACGTATCATGATTGAAGCAAATATAAGAATTATGTAGTAGGTATTCAATGCCAATTTAATGACGAACACCTTGAAAACGGAATACAATCCTTTTTATAGGTTCTTCCCCTTACGAGTCTGTAAGAACTAAGAAGCATGAAATCCAAATGTGGAACACCTTGTCTTATAAAGTGGGGCGGATCGGTCAGGACTTCTTCCTGCGAACCAGGAAGGGTCCGCAGTCCGCTCTCCCCTGGCACTCCCGGGAACCGCCCAGCCTCCCGAAAAATGTATACGCTCTCTCTGGAGAGCCCTGTCCCCTCGGGAGCTCTGTTCTCCCCGGGGAGTCCTTCCGTTCCTCCCTTCCCCGATCACCCGGGAGACGTCACACGATAATGAGCAACGACGCCCGCTCTAATGAATTCAAATGTTTATTTTTCTAGCGGAAATTGGGTTTGGAGAGATTGATGAGAGCCGGCCGTCATGGGTCTCTCTCATCGGCGGCGAGTGGTGCCAATGAGCCGCCTCCCCCCCCCCCTGCCGGCCGGGTGGGACCGCTGCTGTGGTCCGACAGGACTGGGCGGAGGGAGAAGTCAGACGGACCCGGACATAGCAGAACACGCTAACCAACCAGTCTCGACTGTCCCGAGACCTGATTGGACGGACTTCTCCATATCCCGGCAGTTGCTACCTGCTGGGGTATTTCGCCACCCACCGTTTGCTGGGGGGGGGGGGCGTTAACCCGCGCCCCGTTGGGCTCTGCCGAGCAACGCGCCCGGTTGGGGGGGGGGCATTTTGGCCCCCCCCCCTAAGATCTCGAGAACCACGCAACCTAGCGACAAGCGGCAAACGGTGTTGGATAGCCCTATCAAGGAACTACCTTGTGACCCAATTTTATTGACCTAGGTCAAACCGATGACGTCACAGGTCAGGTCAAAGGTCCAATTTTCACCGTTTACAGGCATTTCAAGAAATGCGTTGTAAAATCGAGTAAAATGCATTTCATTGAAAATCATCGATGTGGAAATGTTCTTCAAACACATATTTTGCTATTTGAGGTCACTGATACCAGGTCAGGTCACAGAGGTCAGGTCACGGGGGGTCACAATATGAAAGTGTCGTGTGATACATGTTTTATGGTCCATTTTACATGACAAATGCGATTATGTGGGTCAAACAGCCCTTGGGGCCAGCTTAGGTCACATTTTGGTCAAGGTCAGGTCAAGGTCAGGTCAAGGTCAGGTCAAGGTCAGGTCAAGGTCAGGTCAAATTAGGTCAAATTTCAAAGTTAATATTTTTGCATAAAATGGGTATCAGATCGATGCAGCTCGTCACGGAGAGTTCAATGGTGGTCTTTGTTTTGCCGTACGTGGTCTAGAATCGCTAAAAATTGAGTTCAAAAATTTGACATAATCATTTTTGAACAGTTTTTTCGCTATAACTTGGCCAAAAAACGAGATATTGATCTGAAATTTGGCATGTATATAGAAGAGCGCAGAAACTATCACATATATTCCGTTTTTTTCGAAATTCGGAAAAATTTTGGATTTTTTTTTAATTTTTCTTAAAAAAATCAATTTTTTTTAATTTTTTGGGTCAAAAACCCAAAATTTTGAAAATCCGAAATAGCAGTTTTGTAGCGCCGCTTTTTGTCTACTAGGCCATATAAAAACTTTGAAATTGCTTGATAACTGTAGATTTGGCTAGCGTTTCAAGATTGCATGTTTTTTGCTCATTTTTGCTCGAACATGACCTCAGTTTGACCTCAATAACTCCTGACCTAAGGTGACCTAAGACTTGAAATTTGGTGTGAAGGTATCAAATTGATGCCCAGGAAGGTACTGAAAATTTGGCGGCGCTGCGCGCCGCCGTTTTCTTGCTATTCAGGAAAAACCACAGGGGAGGCCAAAATGGCCCCCCCAACGGGGCGAGGGTTAAACGCCCCCAGCCGATAACTCTATGATTTTTTGAACCAATAGGCGCAGCGAAACGCACGAGGCGGCAAACGAAAGAACGGGACGAGACGCTTCAGATGAGTACTTTAAAGTTGAATTTTGAGGTCACAGGTCGGGTCAAGGTCAGGTCAAACACCTGAAATCGGGCTTTCAGTAGCATGGACTTCAGGACTTCGCAATGGACGCCTTTCGTCATAAACTCTGTCAAAACGGTGCACAATCCATCATATAAGGCCTACAAGAGTGTCAGCTCCATGTAGGGGTCAGTCAAGCATAGGTCAGGGTCAAGGCAGGTCAACCGGGTAGGCACATATCCCCGAAAATCAAAACTGATATTCGCAGCCTGTGACACATGCTTTATGGGTAATTTCGGGCGTAGAACACGATGGTGACATTCATTTTATCATATGTGTACGTGTTTGGCTCAAAAAGTTCAATTTAAGAAATGCATGTATCATGGTCGTGAAGTATAGTCATGAGAAATTGCCACGATTCAGGTCAAGATTTTGGAAAATGCTGAGCGATAATCAATAATCGAAGATAGCCATTTGATTGTTCATGGTATTGGTAGTCTAATGGCGTTTACGGCATGTCTGTATGTCTATTCTGTGATTTTATATGATTTTTTGAACATATGCCGTTTTTGGTCGAAAACTCAGAAATTATGACGTCACTAAAACCTCGATATCTCAAAAATTTTCCGACCGATTTTTTTTGAAATTTTGTCGCAATAAACTTCAATTGATTCCCTTCAGGTACCCAAAATTTGGCGCGCCTGCGGCGCGCCGATTTTATGCTATGGCCCGGCGAAAAAAGTGGGGGCGTTTAACGCCCCCCCCCCCAGCAACTCGCGGGATATTAGCAGAGTGCAAACCGTGTTGTGATGAGAAGGGGTGACCGTTGACTGTGATTCATTGCTTTGTTCATTCACCACGCGAGATGAATCTGTGATGCATGACTGCCAACCTATTAATCAATAATTTACATATGCTGGTGTATTTATAGCAACTGATTCCTGTACACCTCAGAACTCGTTGAGACCTAGCGAGTGATGATCTGACATTTGTCATTCTCACCGGTCCCCTGCAGCTTTCCTGTTTATTCCTCTGAAATACATCCGCCGGAGCGCTGCCCGGCCCAGGAGAGAAAAGAACTGCCGCTTAGCCCTTTCAAGCTGATGATAAGATGATCCAGGAAGGGCGCCGGTAAACAGTTAATGTGACTGAGATGGATCTGCCCCCGACTGGCTCCATCGCCACCACGGCGGAGGCGCCTCGTCTCAGTGGCTTGTAATCAAAGCGGCCCGGCAGGACACTGATGGGTTGCAGACCCGGTGCCCTGCGGCCCAGCACCGCTCCTGCCGCCAGCCCTGCGGCCCAGCGCCGCCCCCGCTCAGCCCTGCCGCCCAGTGCCGCCCCCCGTGGGCCGCGGCCGTCACCTGCGTGGCCACCAGCGTGACTCCCCTGTGGTTGAGACTCTCCAGCGGCGTTCAATTTGGATGCTTACGCTGAACATACTTTGGTAGCACGTATACTTAACCCGTTACATGCGAGAACATCTAACATAAGAACTTTCAACCTAGTATCTAGGTTTATATAAACCGTTTTCACGACGGGCTATCCGGCAAATGCACCTGTTTTGACCAAATCTGCACCTAATTTTTTTACAGCAAAT